CTGGCCCTCTTGAACAAACAGAGCCGCTATGAGACTTGTCAAAGTCGACTTTGGCCGTCTGGAGCTGGTCACCATCAAGACTGATTTTTTTTTGTAAATTTGTAAGACATCCTGCTGGAAATAAAATCCGTATCATGCGGAACTTACTGGCATTTCATGTGCCGTACTGCCCCGAGCAAAATGGTGGAACCTTCGTAGCAAAGCCTGGGTAAAGTATTTCTACTAATTTGCACTGACGACACACACGCCAGATTCCAGCGGTCCACGTAAGAACTTCTTGCTGCAAGTCAATCTTTTCGGAAGATGAGCCCCGCACGTGCTCGACGCGATTGCCGTCCTTCACGATGTCGAACTTCTTAACCGAACACTGCCTCTTCGGGGTCATGGGTTTCACCTGCACTTGGGATGACTCAAACAACTGGTTCGTACGCACAACCGCCTCAACCATTGGTACCCGCCACGGCCAACCCCTGTTGAAACAGGCCCGCTATGAGAGCTGCTAATCGTCAGCAATGAATTATTAATGAAGACTTTTGGATCAGCTCGCGACACCAAAAATTTGCTCGCGATTACTTCGCAAACGCGTGTGTGTAATCTTCTGGTGCTCCTTAGCTACCACATGACCATACCTATGGACACATACTTCAACATAGTCATTTGAATACCTAGCATCTGTCCCCACCAAGGCTATTATCAGTACAAACCCGGATGTGGCAGGTAGTTGTGGGCCAGTATCGCTGTAAACAACGGACAACACAACGGGCAGCCCTGCAGAAATCGTCTGGGTCCGAAATACCCCGCATTTGGGGGCCGTAACCACATCAGTATTGCCATTGTTGTTGTTACGTTGAACTTTTCTGTTCTCGATATCAACCGTTTGCCACTCACTATTTTGATGTCAAAAAAATGGGTCTCCCAGTAACTTCGCGGCGTGCAAGTTCGAAGGCGGTTGCTCTGACGGCCGTCATGACGGTCCTTCGAGGGGGTGATATGGTTTTGACGGATCCCCAAGGTCTCGGCGCTGTGGAATTGGGTCTGAGGTCGGAGCGGAGCAACTCCGTGGTCAAGCTCAAGGTAGCTGTACCACGCGTACCACCGGCCAGTGCCCTGGCCAATTTCGACGTTTTGAAGGAGTGTAGCGCAGCTCACATCATCCGGGAATCATGTTCGCGAGAGCAAGCCATCGACTTCGGGGCAGCCTTGTTGTCAGGAGTTGTACGGCAAGTGCTCGACATTATGCACGAAGCCGATATGACGAAGCTCACGCCGAAACAGGGCGAGTCGATGGAAAAGGTCCTTGAAGCTATCGCGGCTGCTCTATTCACCCAGTGGGCCTCGGACTCCCAAACCGTGGCTCAGGAGGCCGTTATTCGCTTCGCCATGAACTACCCCGTACCTCCGGCCGCCACGGTACCGGGCTGGTACACCGCTACCGCCGAAAACTGGCTGCCTAACGGTTGGGATGCACCATCCACCTCCTAGACATCCTTTGCGCTAATCTGCGCTATTCTTTTTTTAGACGCTCGACCAAACACACTTGACAAAAGACGCTGGGCCAGAGGTGCTCATTTCTGGTCTCGTATAGAACGTTTTTCATCGCGTACGGGATACATTCACTTGTACGTCACAGTTCATCTGAGTAGCGTTTGAAACACCAGCTAGCGCCTTGGTTTGTGGGGTCGAAGAGAAAGGTGCCATTCTCATGTACTGTTTCCAAAACGTAGACATGGTAACCTACGGGTGCGGGGAGAGACTCAATGAATTGCTCACTGTCAGGCGGGATGCTTCTAGCAATAATGTTTCCACAAATTTGCTGAAGCACATCGCACCCTTGTGCCCAAATATCGAGTCTTGAACAGCCCTTTTCGTACAAAGTGTGTTCAAGTCGTAATGCGGTGTGCTCACACTCTGGAGTCCACGGTTCGATGCTCCCTCGTGGTCCGTTGCCCGATGGCCGCATGAGAAATTGGACGTACCCCGATGCACAAAAGTGAGCCATGGTCTGGACTGCTGCAGCTTCGACATTGCCTGTCGCCGCGACGTCGACGAGGAAGACCTTAGCCGCTGTCGCTACCGCTTCCGGAAGCTTCGTCCAGTCGACGTGCACGTTCTTACACAACTGGAAGAACGCGTCCGAGTCGCTCTTCCATAAGCGCCTCGTCACCTTCCGTGTATCCGCTGATGGTAGAATAACTGCACTGGACCACGGATCGTCGGAGCTCCAGGCAGCCTGGTGCTCGGGTGAAAGTTGGTGTTGCATTCTTACCACCTTGTTTACACTCTCATCAACCAATTTTTTGCACAAGCGACCATAGGGTGAAAAGAAGTCCTCCGCAACTCTTTTTAGGTCCGCTTTCACGACTCTATTGATACGTTTCTCACTTAGCCCACATGTTTCCTTACTCAGAGCTTCACGCATCTGCGTTTGAGCCCTTCCGTTCTCACGAACACCTCAACGGTATCGCAACCATCCGTACTGACCCTATCAAATCTCTGACCCTGTCGAATGAACAGAGCAGCCACGAAGGTCGAAAGTGACGACCCTGGTCGTCTGCAGCTGGTAATCATCATCACTGAAATAATAAGAGGCCGCCTACTGGCAGCCGCCCAATTACTGCTGAGAGCAATACTGAAGGCCACTGTATCCGGGCACGCTTCTTTGTGACTGGGTTGTGAGTAAAGGTACTGTTAGGGTATCTAATGAACGACCGAGGGTTATCGGGATCTTGTGAATCGGGATTTTATGAGTAAGCGTGTGGCCGGCATGATTGGATCGGTGGTTCGAATCCCGCCCAAGTCGGGCAAAAAATATTTATGCGGGTATTAGGGTTCTGGTTGGTTGTGTTATGTGTATGGGGGCGACGATTGTCAGGTAGCTTCAGTGTTAGTCCGACGGAGAAGGATTCGCGTGTGCAATATTTGGGCAAGTTTGCCTGTAACATTGGTGAGTGCAAGTACCATGTACGGGCGGGATTGAAGAGTCCATGGCGTGTATTACAGAAGGCAGCACGAAGTATGACGTCGGCGCAGGTGATGGATACATTGAGCCGGACGAACTCGACGGCTCGAGTAGTGGTGCGTGTGGTACTAGATGAGGAGTGGGAGACGAGTCATCGTATGAGCGCATGTCGACGGGCGGAATTAGGTCGAGGCAGGACAACGTTGACGGTACCATTGGACGGTTCATTGGGTCCATGGTCCACAAATTCATTCCGACAAAGTCATCGGCCTCACTTTTGGTACTTTTTTGCTGAAGACTGTCGCAATTCAATTACGTCTCAATTAGCCAAATTGGGTGGTGTAAGTGCACAGGACTTCGCAGCCTATGATATTAATTACGAATTGGAGATGCTACAGGTCGATGGTGGACATCTTAGTTTCGAGTATTCGGGAATGCTCAAATGGTCGGTCGTGCAGCTCTTTGTCTATTCTGGACTTGTCGCTTGGATGTTCTGGAAACAAATGAAACAAATGAAACACCAGCGTTTCCAGTTGCATCTGATGACTCAGATACTCAACGTCTCCTGTCTTTCTACACTTGCCGCAAGTGTACTGAACATACTCAATCTTGTCAAGGTCAACTCCACAGGCTCTACATTCCCGCTTCTCGAAGGACTCGCCGACGCTGCTCACACACTCGCTCACATCGCTGTCTCTAGTTGCCTCATCCTCGTCGCCCTCGGAGTCACTCTCAACGCGCCTCAACGCCTGCCCGGCGCCGTTCTCAAGCTCCTCGCAGCACTTATTGCTGCAGCACATATCGTCGTTGTCCTAGTCGACAAATACACTTCAGACTCTCGCTACAAATACTACGGCTCAGAAGGACCCGTCGGATGGGTACTCGTAGGCTTCCGACTCGCCCTCTGGGCTATCTTCCTATTATGCTGGCAACAGACCAGAGCTGACCCCCGAACACCCTCCAGCACCGAACGCTTCCTACGCAGGATCGTGCTACCCGCTTCCGCCTACTTCCTCACCTTCCCAGCCATCATCGCTCTCACACCCCTGGTTCGACCCTACCTCAGACACGCCTTCATCTACCACTCCACCTTCCTCGTCCAAACCGTCGCCATTATTTGGCTCAGCGAACTCTTCCTCAGCAAAGGAGAGTACTTCCAAGTCTCACAAATGTCACAATCTTTCCTACCCGTAACGACCCCCCCCTCCCCCCATCCCGCTCAAACGCCCC